ACCGTACCCCACCATCTTTCAATGCGCTGGTTAGAAGTGCTTCTTCCAACAATAACGCTGTGACTACCAGCAAAGTGGCCGGTTGCTTCATTCCGAAAGAACTGCTGTAGAAGACAAACAACAGTGTTTTCTGTTCCAGCATCGCAACGAAGTATCCGAGGTGTTTTTTCAATGCGCGTCAATGCATCCAAATAATATATCGCAATCAGTTTTGGATCGTTGTTAGTGTCAGAAACTTCTAACCAGATAACTTTCCTGCTAAAACCATCTACCGCTCCGTGTATACAAAATCCGAATGGTTTCAACTTATCATAACCATCTAAATGCCAAATATTGTTTGACCCTTTTGCACAATAGAAACGTCTTTTAAGTCGATGTGCTTTCTCATTTCAACACCATTTGGATCTATTGCCTTCATTATGTCCATAACATCTTTATGGCTTACATCCAATTATGATTCACTTTCATATCGTCCGATAACCGACAGACTGTCAACTATAATGCATGTCCGTGCCAATTACACGAACAACGTTTTTCAACTGCGATTGCAAATGTACACCTCGACGTTTCAGGTTCAACTTCTTCAAGATTCTTTTTAGCTGACGCAGTGACAACAAAATACCATGCAAAAATCCAAGAATTTCACTGTATTTAAAACCTTGTTTGAAATATTCTTCAATGAGTGATGCTTTATCAACATTCGGAGACGACAAAGGCAGATAAGCTGGCACCACACCAGCTGTTATCTTCAACAGAGTGCACAGAAAACAACACGCAATCACGAATTTCATATTTTGGCACAGCACAGCCATCTTCGCTCATTACTCACGTGCTCTCTTAAAGTGTGGTTTAATTAATTAATTTCACAACTAAGAAGTAATAAGTCTTGAGTTAAAAGTCAAAACTCCCAAGTCAAAAGTCATAACTCCCAAGTCAAAAGTCATTAAGTCAGAAGTCAAAAGTGCTTCCAGTGCTTCCATAAATAATTGATAATTATAAATGTATAGGATAAAAATATCGAAGGACTGCGCAGCTCTTTTTTTTAACCCGAAGGATATTCATAGATATTATGTGAGTCAAGGAGCATATTGATTACTCGGGTGACTTTTATAATCTGTAAATTTATTATAATTTTACCTCATCAATGCATGAAATATGAAAATCAAGATCATCAAGGAAGATTGGCGTTCAATTAACGAAACCGCCACACAACCCAGCAACACAGGACAACTGGCAAGGAGCCCAGATGGACACCAAATATCACTTTAAATAACAAAAAAAACACATTTTAAACGCCTTTGCTCAATACTGAGTTTGTATTCGATGGAAATCAATGAGATGTGTTTCAAAATTAATACCTTAAAGTGCTGACAGCTGTACCTACCTTCAGAACATAAACGTGTTGTAAATGCTAATCTATCGTTGCTATTATCAATTATTTATTATGTAGCATAGTTATGCTGTTGCGATTAAAGTCTTCTTTTTCCGTTTTCCGTTATTTTGAATTAGTGGGTGAAAATTAGTGTTAGGTTTAACAGAAAAACATGATAGTTGCCACTGTTGTTAAATCGAAGATACAAATTCAAATAAAATATCACCATGTGTTTCCTTATTTAATTATTGGCTTAATTATGTAAGATATGCCAAGATACAGAGTCCAAGTTGAAAGCGTCACTAATCTTTTTATAGTTTAATAGAAGGTACGCTACTGAATGATACAAAGTTGGAAAAAATTATACAACATTTACCTGGACCTCGGTATGTAAGATTCTTTAACCGTTAAAGAGTTCAAACTATGAAAATGAACGATATTATGCTTTATATTTCTTTCCAATTTTTTGCAATAAGTGGCGTGTATCTTGCATTTAGTGGCGTGTATCTTGCATACAGTGGCGTGCATCTTGCAATTAGTGGCGTGTGTCTTGCATTTAGTGGCATGTATCTTGTATTAAGTGACGTGTATCTTGCAAAACGTGGCATGTGTCTTGCAATAAGTTACGTGTATCTTGCATTAAGTGGCGTTTATCTTGAGCGTGTATCTTGCGTTAATTGGCATGTTTCTTGCAATTTATTGATGACGTGTTTTTCACAATATGTGACGTGTATCTTGCATAACGTGGCGTGTATCTTGTACTAAGTGGCGTGTATCTTGCATTAATTGTAATGTATCTTGCATTAATTGGCATGTCTCTTGAATTTTTTTCGGGACGTGTATTTTACAATAATGTGACGTGTATCTTGCAATTAGTGGCGTGTATCTTGCATTAAGTGGCTATATATTGTAATAAGTACGTGTATCTTGCAATAAGTGACGTATATTTTGTATTAAGTGGCGTGTATCTAGCATTAATTGGCATGTATCAAAGAATTTAATGTTGACGTGTTTTTTTCAATATGTGACTTGTATCTTGCATTAAGTGGCGTGTATCTAGCACATAGTGTCGTGTATCTTGCAATTAGTGACATGTATCTTGCATTTAGTTACTTGTTTCTTGCATTAGTAGAGTGTACCATGCATTGAGTGATGTGTAGCGTGCAATAAGTGACGTGTATCTTGTATTTAGTGGCGGTTATCTGGCATAAAATGGCATGTATCTTGCAATTAGTGACGTGTACCTTGTATTTAGTTGCGTATATCTTACAATATGTGGCATGTATCTTGCCTTTAGTGGCGTGTATCGCGCATAAGTGGCGTGCATCTTGCATTTAGTTTCGTATATCTTGAAATAAGTGGCGTGTATCTAGCAGTTAGTGGAGTGTGACGTGAATCTTGTATTTCTAGGCATGTTTCTTGCATTTTGTGGCGTGTATCTTGTATTTAGTGACGTGTATCTTATATTTTGTGGCGTGTATCTTGCAATAAGTGGTGTGTATCTTGTATTAAGTTGCGTGAATCTTGCAATCAGTGGCGTGTATCTTGTATCCAGTGGCTACATCTTGTAAAAATGACCTGTATCTTGCAGTAAGTGAAGTTCAACTTAAAATATGTGGCATTTAATGGCATGTTTTTTTAATATAGCTACTTGTATCTTGCATCTAGTAGCGTGTATCTTGCATTGAGTGACAAGTATATTGCATTTGTTTTCGTGTATCTTGCATAAATGGCTATTTCTTGTAAAAGGTGACGTGTATCTTGCAATTAGTGACGTGTTTCTTGTATTTAGTGGCGTAATCTTGCATTAAGATGGTGTATCTTGGAATAAATAACGTGTATCTTGTATAAAGTTGCTATATTTTGTTAAAAGTGACGCGTATCTTGCAATTAGTGACGTGTATCTTGATTTCAGTGGCGTAATCTTCCATTAAGCGGCATGTATCTTGCATAAAGTGGCTATATCTTGTAAAATGTGACGTGAATATTGCAATTAGTGACGTGTATCTTCCTTAAAGTGGCATGAACATTGCATAAAGTTGCTATGTCTTGTAAAATGTGACGTCCTTCTTGCAATTAGTGACATGTTAACTGCATAAAGATGCTGTATCTTGAAAACTCTGACATGTATCTTGCAATTAGTCACGTATATCTTGTTCTTCGTGGCATAATTTTGAATTTAATGGCATGTATCTTGCAATAAGTGACTTGTATCTTGCATGTAGTGGCGTATATATTGCCTTAAGTGGCATGAATCTTGCATTAAGGGGTGTGTATCTTGCATAAAGTGGCATGTATCTTAAAATATGTTGCATTTAATGACGTGTATCTTGCATTTAGTGACGTGCATCTTGCATTTAGTTTCGTGTATCTTGTAATTAGTGACGTGTATCTTGCAGTTAGTGACGTGTATCTTGCAATTTGCGGCATATTTTTTTTTGTATTTAGTGGCGTGTATCTTGCAATAAGTGGCGTGTATCATGTATTTAGTGACGTGAATCTTGCATTTAGTGGCGTGTATCTTGCAATTTGTGATGTGTATCTTAAAAAATGTGTAGTATATCTTGCATTTAGTGGCGTATATCTTGCATAAAGAGACCTGTATTTCGCATTTAGTGGCATGAATCTTGCATTTAGTGACGTGCATCTTGAATTAAGTGGTGTATAGCTTGCAATTAATGACGTGTATTTTTCATTTAGCGGCGTGTCTTTTGCAATTAGTAGCGTAGATCATCTGATAAGTGGCCGGTAGGTTTTGAAACTACACCAATATTGATATAGCCATTGTTACACTAGTTAGATTAATTTACCGAACACAGATTCTTGAAACGTTTTTAAATTATAAGAAGTAAAACACTATTAATTTTTTTTACTATTTTTTATTTGAAATAATGCACACATTCAAAACATGATACAAGAAAAAAAAATATAACGTATAATGTCTGTAATATAATGGTGAAATTATTTATCTTTAAACTTACACACTTTATATGGAGTATTCTTTTGTTTACATGCAAACATTTATTTCAATAATATTATAATAAGATCTTATAATTATCTGTAATAATCTTCAAAGTAGTTATTTACACGAAGTCATAATATGATTCAAAGAAATTCGTAGACTGTTAGTGACAAATACGATACCATATAAGGAAGTGTTCATTGGTTCCCATCTTAGTTATGCATGTTATGCATTACGTAGCATTTGGGACCAGTAACACAGAGGGCGTGGAATTTTTCTTGACAGCTGTATTTTTGTTTTTTAAATTACTTATAGAAGTTTAATAAATTGAAATTTGCTTTGTTATACGATTTTAAGTTTTATGTACCAAGTCCGACTTGTAAACATAAACCAGTACACATGTGAGGCGTTCCAAACTTTGATAAGAATAAGAAGATGCTATATGAATTGCAAAATATAATTTGAGCCGCGTCACGACAAAACAAACATAATGGGTTTGCGACCAGCATGGATCCAGACCAGCCTGCACCATAAAGTTTCTCTACTTGTAAAAGCGCGGCTCAATTATGCAATGATAAAAGAGTTAAATATGACAAATGTGTTGTACATGAAAAAAATAAACAAAATGTTTCACTCTAGTAATATAGCAAAGGAAACACAAACCTAGAAATTACGATCTCTAATGAGCAGTTTCATGGTATTTGCAAAAGCTTTTCCATAATCTTGAATTATAGCTGCAATATTAGTATTTCTCATATAGTCACGTGAACCTTCTCACATGTCAAAAATGTATTTAAATGAGGTTATTCATAAACAATGTAAAAAAAAAACATAAAACTCTTCTACCGTTTGATCACGATATTACCCGACAAAATTCGACTTTTTCAATTTCCATTACAGTTCGATATTCTTGTAAATCATTCATGTAATACAGATGTATTTGTTTACTGCTTTCACTTCTTTTCAGATAGAATATAATATTTAACTGTTTTACAATTATACATAAATGATAAAATAAGTTAAAATATGATACAAACATCTACTATTTCTAGATGGTTTAGTTCAAGAGACCGTAGTTAATATTTAACTGTATGAGTTCAACTGTATGTGTTCGATCAGTAAATTCGAGTCTTGCTTATTGACATGTGACTTAACCATTTGCATTTATTTAAATCACCGGATTAACAATATGTAAAAGACGCAGCTTTTGATTTATTTCAAACAAATCCAGTTATAGTACATCTTTCGTCTAAGTTTTGATATTGCTTTTTTAATATTATATGCCCATTACAAATGATCAAGTGTTTTTCATAACTGAAAGTTAGAATGGAATATGCAATAGACTACTTCTTTAACACACCTATCTGAAATGTCTGTCGAAAAATTATAAGTCTTGAAGAGTAGATTCGCTCAACCGCCTTAGCATGAGACTGAAGAATCCTGAAGAGAGGACAAGAGCCAGTCCGAGGAATACGACAAATAAGATAGAATCCAGCTTTTCAAGAAACATTGCCCACGTATACTTATCATCATCTTCGTTTTCAGCATCAACATCAACGGTACAAACTTCAGGTTTACCATTCGTGTTACACATAGCGTCGTCTTGATCAAATGGTATTACTTTGTTGTTGGAGATCGATCGTTTCTTTGGTCTGAGGCAGTTTATGGAGCACTCTTTGTCGCCGATACTTGACATCAATTTAGCCTGAATAATTGTGTAGAGAACTGAAAGAACGCTCATGAACAATAGAACAATGATGAAGAGGAGAAAGTAAGAGATTTGAAGGGAATTGTCGGGCAGGGTATCACTAACAATAGTGACAAAGATTCCATAAGACAGGAAAATTGTGATGGCAAATGAACCTTTTTCACCGGAACCAACTGGTACTAGAAAAATACAGACATTCAGGAACGCTAACATAAGCAGCGGCATTATGAGGGTGAATGTAGCGAAGTTTGCTCGTCTCTGGACCTTGAACTCTACGTCAATGTGGTATGTATTGTAGAGGAGGTATCTCCTTTGAGAGATGCTTGCAATCCTCCATGCGGAGTTCGCAGTATACTCGTCCAGGTTAACATCAGAAGGATGGTCCAACTCAACTGTTGTAATTGTTTCATCGGAGACGTAGTATGTTATTATACATGTCTGCTCATCAAATGGGTAGTATTTGATGTCCACATGGCACACAACACTGTAAATATCCAAATGCTCAAATTTAGTTCCTTGTTTCTTTTAAAACTTGTTATCAAGAACTATATCGTAAATCAATTCTACATCAGGATTATCATATCATTGGTACGAAGGGCGGTAAGGACATTTCAGCTTCATGAATTTTCGATTTCAACTTCACGAATTCACGATTTCAACTTCACGAATTAAGGATTTCAACTTAAATTCATGAAGTTGAAATCGTGAATTCATGAAGTTGAAATCAAAGATTCATGAAGTTGAAATCGTGCATTCACGAAATTGAATTCGTGAAATTGAAATCGTGAATTCATGAAGTGGAAATCGTGAATTCATGAAGTTGAAACCGTGAATTCATGAAGCTGGAAACATTAATTCGTGAATTCCGTATGTTGAAAACAGGAATTCACGAAGTTTAAATTGTGAATTCATTAACATGAAATCGGGAATTTATGAAGTTGAAATGGCCCTACCGGTCGTTCGTACATTGGCATCACGTTTTTATTGAGCCCTGATATCATATCATAAAACGTTTAGCCATACTAAACAAAATATATATGTAAAAACTGTTTGGGAAATTCTTTTGTAGCATAAATACTTAATATTTCAAACACTTTTTTTATGACACTAAAAATTAATAATATGGATTGTTTCAAATTAAAATCACGGTCATTGCCGCTTCACAGGTTAAGCACCTGGTTAACTAAAATAATGCATTACCTGTAGATTCCTTCAGGGACCCATTGAACGTACCCGACATCCGAGATCTTAGCAATGTCTGTATTGCTGTTTCCAACAACACCGTCTCCGTCAAATGCCTGAAGATAATAATAATTGTCATATTTATTTATAATGACAGATTAATATTAAAGGCCCATTATGCCACAGAAATGCTTGCAATTTTATATTTCAAATCTTTTTTTTTTTGCATTTTATTGCAGTTTTCAAAGCAAAATACATATTAGCCATATTCATGAACTACTTTTACTGTGTTGGCAATTGGTATAATTACGATGAATCGGTATTATGTATGGAAGTCAAAATGCTACTTTGTTTAAAGTCTGCTACCTTAAAAAAAACTTTTTAATTTTTTACTTCTGTGACAGCTGGACTGTTTGGAAAGAAACTAATACATTTTTATAAGCGATCCCTAGAAATGTAAAATATCAATCGCAGCTTTTCGGCTCTTTTCGTCAAACTTCGGATAAGAGCCTCGAAAACAAAAGGACTAACCAACGCTAAGAAACAAAACATGTAAGCAAATAATAATTTAATTTTAGGAGTTCATGACTGAATCTATACCAATATATAGATTAAACGTCCATCTAAATTAAGTATATTTATAGATATAAAAGGAATCAATACATTATGTATACACTTATGATTATAGTTGTGGAAACAGAAAGTACAAAATGTATATATGTTGACATTTATAGGGATTTGGTTGTAATTGTATTTTGAAAATGATTACAGTTGTCAAACATTTCATTTACCTGCTGGTGTTTACAAGTATAAGCATTGGTAAAATGTCATTCAGTTAACTAATTATTTAACTTTGCATAGCTGTTTAACTAGTTAAAAGTTAATTTGCAATGATCGAGATATCGGCTTGTTAATGTGGTAAAGAAAAATGTGTATATTAATGTTTGCACAAAAAAAAACTACAATATTTTATTAAATTAAATAAAAGAAAAATGAAAAAAATTTCAATAAAACTTTTCGGTTTATATTTAAAATCTTTATAATATCATTACGGTTATATATATTTATTTACAAAAATCAAACTAAACGATATATAGTTTCTGCATTTCCAAGGTTATATGGTTTATATGGTTATATTTTTACATTTAGAATGTTCCAAGCTTTTTGTCTTTAATTTTTATTTTATATACCTTTAATATTATAAGACTTGGAGTCCATATCTCTGTGACGGGTACTTTGATGGTGTTAGTTTGAGCGTAGTCGGCGGGATTCCACGTGATAACTTCATCTGTCCAGTGTATCCGGAAGTAGCCAAGGACGGAGAATTTCTGTTCTGATGTGTCAAACTCTAAAATACTCTGCGGCACAAATTTGGTAGTGACATGCACAACCTGTGACTGGTCCTCTCTTGGCCGAATCCTGGTATCATAACTAAACGAGAATAAATAAATAAATTAAAACATGTTTTCAATTAAATATGGTCACGTGTCAAGTCACGCGTTAACTTGTTTACAGATAGCAACATCATCATCCGCTGCTTTCGTCAGAGAACGCAGGGATATATACTGAGTGATTGCTATTGCTAAGATAAGACTTATATAAATAAGCATCCGTTTCCATGTGGTGTGGGCTTAAGGTGTTGTTGTAGTTGGTGGTGGTGGTGGTGTTGTTGTTGTAGGGGTACGTGCGTGCGTGCGTGCGTATGTTTGTTTTTTATGCAGTTCATGTCTTGTAACGTTAAATTTGTAAATGTGTATATTTGTTTGAAATAATATGTGTTTAAAGTAAAATAATGATTTTTATTGATATTTTTTACATACGATCGCGAGTACGTCAATTAGTTTTGGGAGTAACAGAACAGTATATATATTTAAAGGAAAAGAAAAGATAAGAATAATTTGAACATCAATGATCATAAATCAGATATAAATAATGAATAACCACTGTTTTAAAAACAAAATAATATAATAATGTAATGTAACTCTTATAAATGACGTAAAAGTATACAATGCATAAACAAATTCGTTTTATTAAAAAAAAAAAACATATATCTGTAATATTAAGAAGAAAATAAAGAATAACTTTATAACTAAATAGGTTGATACATGTAAAACTTCAGTTTCTGGATATATTATATTGTTCAACGTGCTTGTATTATTATGTGTGATATAACAAATAAACAACTAAGGGAAACGATAATAATTCGCCCCACTGACGATTTGCTCCTGTAAAATAAAAACAACTTGACTGTTTGTTTTCTTCTTCTCTTGTCAGCAGTCGTTTAGTTTAAGTGTATTTCTTAATAAAACCCCATGACAACATCTGTGTAAATATTGTGTATCATGCTGTAATATTTTTTTTTAGTTTAGAATAAGTACTAATGAGCTAATGACATTGAAAACCATGGGGGAATTTATTTCAAACTCTCTAATTATTTGTTTATTTTAATAGGTAAACTGCTTAACTGAATATATGAGACAATACTTGAGTTAGCTAATATTTGTCAAATGCACTTGACTTACATTTCTAATTTCGTTATGTCAATATCACTCTATTCAATAAGATGACCTCACAGCATGATATCAACTTATACTGTATAGTTATCTACCTATCATAAAACAAATAATGTATGGATCAGCATATTGTATTAAAAGAAATTAAGTATCAATAACTTATACATATGACGAGCCTGTTTCTAGGTAAGTTTTTTGAGCATATTTATTTTATTTTATTTATTTAAGTCCCGTGCTGTCTAAGACATGGTACGGTAAAAAAAAAAAAAAAAAAAAAAACACAATAATTTTTATGACAGTTGTTTGAAACTTATACAAACTATAAATACAAAAAGAGGACTTTTTTCATTAGGGGTATGAAACAAGTTCAAGTGGCAAGATAAAAATATTCATAGACATACATTTATACTTAGGCAATAATCTACTCTATATTGTATTCTAGGTACATATGAAATTCTAAAACAGTAAAGAAATTATTTGTAGTATTCAACGCTAAATACAAAAACAAATGCCATGCATAAATTAAATAATAAGTAATACACCGACATGTGAGAGAAATGCAAAACCTTTTTTTTATTTTTTATTTTTTTTTTTTATCAAAATATCTTATGTTTATACTTTTGTATAAACGTATCTATGCATAACAACAATATGTTTTTAAATATTTAATTCAAAAAGTATACAGCAGCACAGACAGAGTGATTGAAGTGACAATACGTCCATCCAAGCATAAATATACAGCTTAGGTATAAGTCAAAATAAATTCTCATTTTGTCATTATTGTGTTCAATTTTATATTTTACTATGCAATGAAAATCAATATGCCGCATGGGCCAAAAACACTTCTAAACAAGAAAAGTATTACATGCATTCGCATGTAATATAGGTACGATTGCATACTTCTTTTTGTGAAGACTTTCTATGCTTGCTGCATTATAGGTGTAATGTAAAATGAACAAACATGTCATAGAGATATTTTATATCTTTAAACATTTTCATGGAATGTAATTAATGTATCATCATATTAAAGTTGCATGCCTTCAGATGAGAAAAATGATTTCAAGGAAATCAAAATATGAAAAGAAAATTCACGGTCAATTGACTGCTTTGAAGCATAATCACAGAATAAAATTACAGGAAATTTAAAACCTTTTTAATACACTAAAGATAGAATTTCATTGTAAGTCATAGTCACAGATTTGAGATATGATTATTTATTTATACTAACATCATTATTGGTTATATATTGATAAAAAAACCGAAAGACTTAGTTTGTAAATATTTATTACAATAAAATATGAAAAAGGTATTTTCCATCCTATGCCGAGGTTAGCTATATTTATAATTCCCGCGCTAAGTCGCGGTGGTGCTTGGGATAATCACTTGATACTGTAAATGGCAGCCATTTTACGATACGAAAATGCCTGGCCCTCCTCGGACAGTTTATCCTGCCGAAAAGATATGAAGAAATACTTGCAATTCAAATTTTGTTGCTACATAAAGATTATCGATTTACTCTTTGCAAACTTTTTCTCTGCCTGATTGTAATAATATTGATATGTTTTCATTGGCTTAAACCATCACGTTATCAATACACATAAAGGTGTGAACTAATTTCGTGTTCATTAAAATTATTCCGTTAATATACATATAACAATCTTATTTACAAATGAATTGATAAAACAACAATCCCAGAAGCTTTTAAGATAATAACAATCATTTGAAAAAAATAAATACATATAAATTGTAAATTTGTGTATGACAACTCACCCCCTAAACAAAACAGACTCAACCAAAACAAGCGTCTGCTTCTTTACCTAACTATGTAGTTGCATGACCATGATTAGAAATAGCAAACCAAATGTAAGAGCTAAAGCTATTGTAAAAATAATACTATGACCACAGCAGATTTCGAACAGAAAATACATTTCTTCTTTATATTTGGATGATTACCATTATAATGTCACTTAAAGTATTTCTACCCTGGCTCCTTTACCATTTTATCAATGTCATTTTTGCAGGACTGACAACGAAATTTAGTCGTTATTGTCCATCCTTTCATTTGTATAGCAACACAAAATTATTTCATTGTTCCAATGCGTAGTTCATGTCAAAACGGAGTCATATGCACATATATGTCATTTATTCAGTTGATTTTGAATAGGCAACAAAATAAAGACACTTATTTCAAATTGTTTCAATTCAGGGTAAAATGGTTATTGCGGACGAGCATAAATGAACGTCACGTCATTTGCTGTAGATAAACATAGCGTAATAAAAACGCATTAAATGTACACGTTACATATGGTGGCTGATTTGTGCCATTCGTGTTTTCGCCCCGCGGGACGATTTATTTATTAAGCTTCGCCCCGCGCCCCCGCTTACTAGCGTATTTTCGTCCAGCGACCCCGCCCTTTTATTTCTTAAATCTCGCTCCGCGCCCCCGCGGGACGAAGTTTTATTTATTAAACTTCCCCCGCGCCCTCGCTAATTAGCATGTTTTCGCTCCGCGCCCCCGCCATTTTAACTTGTTAATTTTCGACTTTTCGCTTGGCGGGGTCGCGGGGCGAAAACACGAATGACACAAATCAGCCACCATAATTACACTATATGCGCGTCAATGGAAAAGTGATTCTTTTTCTATTCAAACAGTCTTATTTTTGGTATGTGATAATAGAATATTTCATATTCGTGTCGACTCAATACTATATAAATTGAACTTGTTGATACGCTTCACTCTACTCCACCATTTTCAAACAGATGGGACAACCAAGTGCATTTTTACACCGTATATTAACAGCATGAGAATCAAATGCTTACAAAAAATTTCTTAGCCCAAAAAAGTACAAAATATTTTCTCAATTTTCATCTTTTCTAGCATCATGTTAGAATGGGGAAAATATTGCATTATACTATTTTCGTCCAAATGCATATCGGACTTGTTGATTATATTCATGCGCATATGAACACTTTTACAACATTGCACTCAAAGTTGATATATATTTCTGAAATATTATGCTCGCCAGAGACTCGCATAATATGATTTTATCCAACCTGTTCAATAAATTTAATATTAAATCCTAACATATTATTTAATACCCTCCATATACTTTAAAAGTGTTAAAACCTTCCTTACCAAGTGTACAGTTTTATTTTTGTGTTAGTATGCTCACACAAAATTTCACATTTCGCACAATGAGTACGTACAGAGCCGATGTGACTGAACTTTTGTTTCAGTTTCAAAATTATAGGCGGAAGAAATAGTAATTTGCAAATTTGCATATTGACCATAAAATATCTGTGAGAAATATATATGACATTATCTGCTTTTTAAGACATTCAAGTAAAGTTGCTTTGTTGTTGTTGTTAATATTTTTTAATTTTTATTTATCTATTTTTATTTTTATGGAAGGGGGTGGGTTTACGATGATAACAATTTTATAAGTATTTCAAATATCGATACACACAATACAAATGTATCATTATTTAATTAATTTATAAGTCGCATTGCTGAGCGCCTTTTTAATACATATATAGCAATACCAATATAAAGATTTACTTAGAACGTTACTTGTAAATTGTAGCTCATGCTATAAGTTAAGACAAAACTTTTACACCAAGCTCTGTTATTAAGTAACAAAAATATATCCTAAACATACTTATCACAAAAAGCGAATGATTCGTCTATAGGCTAAAACGTTCATGCATTATTAACTTACCTACTTATCACAAAAAAGTATAACATCATTAGACTAAAACGTTCTTGCATCACTCACCTGGACAATGTATCATTAAACAGTCTTTTCATTCCGCTAAGATCTGTTCCGGTATTGTCATTGGCATTATCCTCAGGCATTTGGATACCCCAAGCCGTTTGAATAAACACAAACACAAAATATAGTACAATCACAAGTCTGACCATCATTCTGTTTTTCGCTTAACCAGAAATATCTTAAACTAAACTATATGACATCTCAGGATTTGAAGTCAAGTGACGTTTGTTTGATTGCATATTTTCAACTGACAATTGGAGGAAGTCTGTTACTGTCACATAGCATGCATATATGCATTTGATCAATTATAGTTTGTATGAACAAACAAAAGTCTAATGAATCGAGTTAAATAAGGAAGCAAGGTATGTACAGAAAGGAGGCTAGCAGTTTAACAATCGAACTTAATCCCCCTAAATAAATACAAAATTTGGCACATCGAGACTGTTTTTGAATTTTTGAAAGAGAATATTTTTATGTGCCAAACAAATAATGATTTTTAAGTTAATTAGCAATCATACCGATCCGAGTGCTAATGTAGCAATTGTTGATGCAGTAAGTATTGATGCAACGGAATTGACACGCTTTTAACTGCTATAGGCCTTGGCGGTCATTTTTTTAGCACGTGCTCATTTTCTTTCAAATAATTCATTTGAATTAAGCAAACATCACCACATTTATCTGTTTGCTTTTGTTAGAAGAAACCATTTGTTTTAAGAAAATATCAATATAAAACATAATAATAACAAGTGTCCATGGCGAATCACTATAACAATGAACTACCGATTATTCAATTATGCAATATTTACAGGATTTTTTACCAGATGGAGCCGCAAAGTTTTGAGGTAATGGTCGTCGACGTGAGGAGGAGTAACGGAAAGGAGACATTTATACTAGTGCGTGGGTTTCGCCTAAAATACATTAAGTTGATATCAAAATCTCACAGGGATTTTAGATACATTCCAAACCTCAGTGGTGCGGGAGTTTATGACGCCCAAACCCATCTCTTGATCCACACATGATGTTTTATTGCCCGTTGACATGATCGATTTAGAAAGTTTGGTTTTTAAAAGAAACTTTTGTAAAGCTTCAACTGGTACAAGTACTTTTTTCCGGAGGCCTTCTAAATTCAGTTTGACTTCCTTTAAAACTTGCAGGAAAAAATTGAATATAAGGAGAATTTTCATTGGTCATTGTTAATTACAAATTGAAACATGGGAATCTCATTGGCCATTCTAAAATAAAATTCTTTCCATTCTCAAATAAGATTTAAGGATAGTTGTAAAATAGGATTTACAAGACAAGTTTTTGCCATTGTATAATACAATTTAAAGGATAGTTCTAAAATAAAATGTACAGGCTAGTTATTTAACATAAGTTTATTTTATGAATTAACTTATAAAGTTATAAATATTCTCAAAAAAAATGAGAGTACCAATAAGGTTCATTATCCTGTAAATTTACTAAGTTTAAGAACAAAACAAAATCCAACTTATCAGGTATCCTTAGTTTATGATGTTTAATAATTTATATAAATAAATGATGTTTTTTTATTAATTTGCATATGATTTTGCATATTAGTTATAATTGTCTATCTGTCTATCGACTGTGCAGATGTTCGTGAACCGTAAAACGAAAGGTTTATTCAGGAAAACATACATCTTACAGTAGTAGCTCATCATTAAAGATTAATAAACTTAATTTAATCTTACTAGGTTATTCTGTCCATTGTAATAAAAGTATGTTTTACATAAGAAAGGATACAATCGATTTTTTCATTGTGTTTCAGTATTGTTCTCTGAAGGTCTTGAAAATCCATGGATTTATTATACCAACAAAACGTTCTCGTTTATAAACTTCTTTTCAAATTTTGTTTAGTTTTTACTTAAGTTGTTTAAGTAATTATTTTTTAAAATTCCGAAATGATATTCGGTTTATGAAAATAAACAATCTAAGTTGAGAGTAAAAAAGCAAAGACATTTAGTACTGAGTACAAAATAAATTGTTCACTTTGTTTAAGTGGAGTTGTATGAACAGGCTCAATCATACCGAGCCTGCATCATTTTCAATTTTGACGTTTGGGATTCCTATTTTCTCTTTTTCAGACCCCAAATCTTCACACAACTGCGCGCGTGGTGGGAAAAATGATTCTTTTTCTATTCAAACAGTCTTACGTTTTGGTATGTGATAAATAGAATATTTTATATTCATGTCGATTCAATTATTAATTATTGTTAATTGAACTAGTTGACACGCTTCCTTCTACTCCATTTTCAAACAGATGGGACAATCAAGTGCATTTTTACACCGTATATTAACAGCATGAGAATCAAATGCTTACAAAAAAACTTCTAAGGCCAATAAAGTTCAATTTTTTTTTTCAATTTTCATCTTTTCTAGCATGTTAGAATGGGATTATTGCATTATACTATTTTCGTCCAAATGCATATCGGACTTATTGATTATATTCATGCACATCTGAACACTTTTAGAACAATGCACTCAAAATTGATATATATATTTCTTAAAAATTATGCTCGCCAGAGACTCGCATAATATCATTTTATCCAACCTGGTCAATAAATTTAGTATTAAATCCTAACACATTTAATACCCTCCATATTCTTTAAAAGTGTTAAAACCTTCCTTACCAAGTGTACTGTTTCATTTTTCTGTTAGTATGCTCATTTCACAGAGCCGGTGTGATTAAACCTTTTTTTTTCAGTTTCTAAATTGGCGGAAAAATAGTAATTTGCAAATTTGCATATCGGCCATTAAATATCTTTGGGAAATATATGTGACATTATCTGCTTTTTAAGACATTCAAATAAAGTTGTTTTGTTCTTAAGATGAGTACAATTTCATAAGTATTTCAAATTTCGATACAAATGATAGAAATGTATCATTATTTAATTAATCTATAAGTCGCATAGCTGAGCGCCTTTATAATACATATATTTAAATAGCAATATAAATATTTACTTAGAACGTAAATTGTAAATTGTAGCTTATGCTATTAGGTACGACAAAACTTTTACACCAAGCTCTGTTATTAAGTAACAAAAATATATCCTAAACATACTTATCACAAAAAGCGAATGATTCGTCTATAGGCTAAAACGTTCATGCATTATTAACTTACCTACTTATCACAAAAAAGTATGACATCATTAGACTAAAACGTTCTTGCATCACTCACCTAGACAATGTATCATTAAATAGCCTTTTCATTCCACTAAGATCTGTTCCAGTATTGTCATCGGCATTATCCGTAGGCATTGACTTAGCCCAAGCCGTTTGAATAAACACAAACACAAAATATGATACAATCACAAGTCTGACCATCATTTTTTTCTTTTGCTTAACCAGAAATGTCTTAAACTAAACTATGTGGCAAGTCAGGATTAGAAGTCTAGTGACGTTTGTTCGACTGCATATTTTAAACTAACAGGAGGAAGTCTGTTTTTTTCACATAACATAAAAGGCATATATGCATTTGATCAAATATATTTTATATGAATAAACAAAAATCTAATGAATCGAATTATATAAGGAAACAAGATATTTACATATTGTACAGAAAGGCGGCTAGTAGTTAAACAATCGAAATTGATCTCCCTAAATAAATACAAAATTTGGCACATCGAGACTGTTTTTGAATTTCTGACAGAGAATACTTTTTATTTGCCAAAAAAAAATATTTTAAAGTTTATTAGCAATAAGACAGATCCGAGTGCTAATGTAGAACATGTTGATGCAGTAAGTATTGATGCAACGGAATTGACACGCTTTTAACTGCTATAGGCCTTGGTGGTCAATTTTTTAGCACGTGCTCATTTTCTTTCAAATAATTCATTTGAATTTAAGCAGATTTCGTTTTGGTTAAACTTTAATTGTTAAAGTAATTCATTTTAAATTTATAAAAATTCCAAAATGACATTCTGATCTCATTCTATGATTATTTTGTGACAAATCTTTGCAAATAGAATCAGCACAGGCATGGTAATGAGAAGATCGACTGATCTTAAAATCAATTTGAGCATGAGAATGAAGAAAATCAGTACTAAATACTGATAAATTCAAAGAACGAATTCGAAAGCTTGTCTATATATAAACAGCTTCTTGCATAGACAGCCAGGGTAAAACAATATAGCTTATAGTTTGAGTTTCATTTGGATGTAAAATCGAAATATGTTAGAATGAGTGAACACGAGATGTAATATTTTCTCGATAGGTGTTGCCACTAGTGAAAATATATTAGTTGATGTTCACGAGTGGAGACATACAAATGATACAAAAAAAAACAACCGAATTTTCTTTTTATGTCATGCTTTGGAGTATTGTTAATCATTGTAACAATTATAAATGATTGTCGCGTAAAATCATCCACTGTTCGTGTTGAAAAAGAATGATGAAGTTAAATTGCACAATTTTTGTTACAATGGTAACAAGTTATATGCAATTTTCATGTACTTCTTATACATTATAATGCATTATACTTAAGACAGAACGTGTTTCTGCTGATATTACTGCGCATTTATGATATACTCTACTGTAAATTGTAAATAATATATAATTATAATGATTTCACTGTGAAATTATCAAAATATGATTACACTTTCTACTAAAAGTATGTTATAAATACAACATTGAAATTATGTAAAAACAATTTTTATTTTCTTATTTTTTATTCTTTTTTCTTATAATTATTTTTTTCCAATTTTAATTCCACAGAAAGAGTAAGGGTAATTGTTGGGAAACGGCTGTAACTTTTCTGTAATGTCATATGAGTTTTATCTTTCTCGAACTCAATTTAATACGTTATATTAATCTTTGCATCATTACTGAACTTAACATTTAAAACACATTAACTTTACTAACAGTTTTACTTTCACGAAGTCTCGTTTTCCAGAAATTGTCTATGTCATTAACATTTTTAAGATTATGTCTTTCACCATTCCCTGATATATATATATATATATATATATATATTCCCTGGCATTAGACTTGTAAAATAATAATGTTAGGAAGACCATATCACATCCACATTTACTTTTAAGTTTTTTTAGAATTAATTTGATTTTTACTGTTTACACCTCAGTGTTAGACAAGTGGCTTCTTTTAAATGACATCATCCCCACGCGCCTTTTATGAATGCATTGCGTTCTTAAAGTCGTTTTGCGGTTATCAGTGAAGTTGTAGCTTTATACGCTGCGATAAGAAAAAAGCTAAATGATAATATAATGGTTCG